ACGTGCCTGTAGTCCCAGCTACTCGGGAGGCTAAGGCAGAAGAATTGCTTGAACCTGGGAGGCAGAGGTTGCGGTGAGCCGAGATTGCGCAACTGCCCTCCATCCTGGTGACGGAGCAAGACTGTCTCAAAAAAAAACGCACACACACACACACACACACACACACACCCTTTAATGACTTTCTGAGACCCACAAGATAAACCAGACAAATCTCAGGTTGAGTCCAACTTTCCTGCTTATTATATGGCATTGTACTATAGCTGAATCTGTTTCTACCTATGGGTCTCTGATGACAACCAATGACAAAAGGGTATGTAAAGTTGAAAGAGTAATGTTTTCCACCATCCCATGTTTGTAATAAATATGTAGAAATCGTGTGTGTGTGTGTGTGTGTGTGTGTGTGTGTGTGTGTTGTGTATGTTTGCATATGTTTGCATTTTTCTATAATCTTGGAGAACAGAATGAGGGATATAGAGCAGACTCTTAACATTAGTTATCACTGGGAAGTGGAGGTCAGAAAAAAGTTTTTACCTTTTTAAAATACATTTCTCTCCAATTGCGCTTCTTATAAAGAGCATATAACTATATGTATGCATACATTACAAATCTGGAAAGCTATGTACCAGCACTCTAACAGTGGTTATCTTTGGGTAATAGGAATACAGTACTTTAAAAAATATTCTTGGCCGGCCGCTGTGGCTTAGGCCTGTAATCCCAGCGCTTTGGGAAGCCGAGGTGGGTGGATCACCTGAGGTGGAGAATTCGAGACCAGCCTTACTAACATGGAGAAAGCCCGTCTCTACTAAAAATACAAAAATTGGCCAGGCGTGGTGGCGCATGCCTGTAATCCCAGCTACTTGGGAGGCTGAGGCAGGAGAATCGCTTGAACCCAGGAGGCGGAAGTTGCTGTGAGCCGAGATCGCGCCATTGCATTCCAGCCTGGGCAACAATAGTGAGACTCCATCTCAAAAATAAATAAATAAATAATATTATTTATATTTTTCTCTATTGTAAAATTGTTTATAATAAACATGTATTATGTTTTTCAAAACTGAAAAAAATTTCTTCCAGTAACAGCTGATCATTGTAAATAATTTTTAAGTACTTGGAAAGTACTTGTAAATCCTACCCTTCTTTCAACATGACTGATAACCCCTGTTAATCGTTCATTATATAGTCTTTTAAGATAGGCCATAGCAAGTCATTTTTAGTTTTTCAAACGAAGCATCTCTGTCTTCCCTCCTGGCCCTTGCACAGGCTGCTCTGTGCATGCACGGATTGCCCCTCATCCCGTCCTGCTCTTTTTTACTCCCATTCTCTTCATTCACCTCCTATACAAGTTCTATTCCCCTTTCATGATAGTGCTCAGACATTTCTTCCTCTTGTATTTCCTGATTCTCCAGAACTCACCTCAAGCTAGGCTGAATTTTGCAACCTTTCTGTGTCCCCATAATAACTTGTGCAAATGTCTGGCAGTATTTTTCACACTGTATTGTAATCTGTGATTTTCTCATTTTTCTCCATCAACTGGGCATTTCTTGAGGGTGTGTCTTAATTATCTTTGTGTTTTCAGCATCTAGAACAGTGGTAAGCACCCAATATATATTAATTATTGAATGAATTGAAATAATTTATTACATCAGCAAGGTGCCAACAAATACCTTTAAAGATATCCCTATTTTCTTTATTTTTTTCTGAAATGCCTTTTTTCTCCACACAGACTGATTTTCTGTCACCTCACAGCTTCTTGTGGTAGGGACCTCTCCTCAGTATTTGAAACCAACCATTATCTGACAGATTTAGAATTTGTAAAAAATACCCTTGAAGATTCAGGAATGAAGCTTCTGTGTGAAGGATTAAAACATCCC